TTCTGGGAAGGTGGATATGCTGCTCTGCCTCCAAGAGGCCTGGGACTGGGTAGCTGCTGTCCCTCAAGGGGAAGGAATTGAGTAACTGTCCTACATTACATCTATCTCTCCCAAGTGAGTGGAATGACCCATGGATAGCACCTCTCCCAGGCGAGGCCGTAAGGACTTATGCAAAGGAAGGTGCATAAATGCTAATTTGGGAGAGCCCACGCAGAGGAATATACCAACCAGGCCCTATTCTTACCCCTCAGCCGACTGGATATCCCACTTCTACTGCCTTGGGGCCATGTGAAACCCCAAACCCCAAGACATGAGGATGATGCATGGTGGCAAGTCACCCCTTAGTCCTCTAGAGCAGCAATCCTTAACCTTTTTTTGCACCAAGAGCCGGTGCTCAGATCTCATGCCTGATGATCTGAGGTGGAGCTGAGGTGGTGATGCTAGCTCTGGGGAGCGGCTGCAAATACAGATGAAGCTTCGCTAGCTCACCAGCTGCTCACCTCCTGCTGTGCGGCCCGGTTCCTAACAGGCCACGGACTGGCACAAGTCTTCAGCTTGGGAGTTGGGGACCCCTGCTGTAGAGGAATAAAAGCAACCCCAAAGCCATCAAGGTTGGCCTGAGGGTCCTAAAGGATTTTGGAAAGATTTGGATCAGAGGCTTGGTAGGGCCAGTGGTGTCACAGGTGAAAGGTCCTGGCATGATTCATGCCTCCCAGTCCTGCTAAAAGAGGATTGTCCTTCTCCTAGGCTGGCCTCTTTGCCAGGGTACAGAGTGGCAAGGAAGAGCTGTGGGGGCCATGGATTAGCACGGTCATGGGCCTTACAAACAGTGATGCTAATGTGAAGGCATTCCTTCATCAATGAGTTAAAAATAACTAGGTTAATAAACATCTTATTTTCTCGAACCCTCATTTTAAAAATGTAAAGATGGTTTTTAAAATTAATGGCCTTTGAACTCATTGGTTTCAAAATCAATTATAGTGTGTGTTTTTTTTTATTATTTCTTTTTATTTTGAGCCTTGGTTTGAGTTTTTCTTGGCACAGGAGCAGCCCTGTTGGACATTCACGAGTGGACCCTGCTGGGTGGGTTATTTCAGCATGGGAGTCTTTTGCCTCCAGTAGAAAAGAATTGGAGATCAGAATGGGTCCTTCTGTGCCCAGCCTCATGCATGTATCTGGGTAATACTGACATTGCTCAGGAGTCACCAACTCCGGGAAGTCACTGACTCCTGGGGAGGGTGATTGTTGCCTCTCTAGCCTGTGCCTCCCTCCCTCACCATTCTTACAGGGTGGTTTTTATTACTCTCAAGTGGTCTGGCTCCTCATCTAGATGATGAGCTCCTTTAACACTGGCTGTATCTTTCTTCTTGTATCCTCAGAGTCTGCTATGTTGGCAGAGAGTGTGTTCAGTAACTGTTCACTGATGGTCTGGGCTATTGCTAGGTGACTGTTCCACTTCCTTCTCTAGTCCCATCATTAACTGGTCATTAATACACCAGGCATTTGGTGTGCCTACAATAAGTTTTAACTACTCATGTAGGTTCCTTTCAAGACTGGCTGGTCGATGCCCATCTTGCCATATTCTGGGGTTTTGGAATACACACCTGGAGTAGAGGTCTCAACTTCACATGCCTAGAGGGATTAGGAGGCAGAGCAAAGAATAGAGCAGGGCCAAATGCAAGACAATAGGCAGTGGTGGGGTCTATGGAGAGCTGAAGAGTGCAGGCCCCATATAAAATGGGCAACCAAAAGCAAAACCCATCTGTTTGACAGAAGTCAGAAGAATGGTTACTCCAGGGTCTAATGACTGGGGCTCAAGGGGGTGCTTTTGGAGTGCTGGAAATATCTTTATCTTGATCGGAATATCTACAACAGTGGTGAGTGATCATTTGTGCGGAAGAGAATTCAGAAAAATTAAAGCATTTATGGGCCATATTTATTTTGGTTCAATAAGAAAATAGCTTTATTGAATCCCATAGGGCAGAAAATGCATATTCTTACCAACTTTATTGGCTAGAACGGTATCAGTGAGAAACTTGGCATATTTAAGAAGTAGCCACATGGAAACAGCTTTCTAGTCTTTCACTGTGAAATTTAATCTGGCTCCGTCCTGGGGAGTGGGGCAGGCTACAGCCGCTGCTCCTTGCTGGCCTGGGTATTTGGGTCTCAGGATTTTTCACCCCAGCAGTGAAAGTCTGTGTGGCTCAGTGTATTGCCTAGGGGAATAGGAATATCAGAGATCTGTCCTCAGCCTCAGGGACCTCGAGCTGTGTCGCCAAGGATGACACAGCAGGCTCAGATTTAGCATTTATTTCCTGATAATAAACCCATTTCCTTTGTGATTTTTGTAAGGCAGCTTGGAGGCAGACAGAGCTGGGAATGGACACCAGTTCTTCCACTCTTGAGCTCTGAAGCCTTGGTCTGGCATGTCACCTTGTCCAGGCCTTAGTTTTCTCATCTGTTAAATGGGAATAATTTTCAATTACCTTATAGGCTTGCTGTGAACATTCATAAGATGAAAACTATATGGAAAGCACTCTGTTCAGTGCCTGGAACCCATACAGAATGTAGTAGCTTTTTATTATTCTCACTTTTGAGTTCATCATGTGTTAGATTTTGAGAGCTTGACAATCTATAAGTTCATAAATTGAATTCTGTCTGAAG